CACATCCAGCAGTTACAGTGCAACATTAGCTTTAACTTGGAGTCGCCTGGCAAGTTTAAAGCAGCAACAAGTATAATGTATTGATTTATTGGCGGCTCCTGTTGACAGCGGTAGTGTTTTCACTGGTTTTAAGGAACATCTGAAGATACATCGGTTTAAGAACTACCTAAAATACAAGAATCCATTTTTTGGGGAAAAATATTTGACATGTACTTTTTGTTTGGCCCATATCCCATCTGCTAACATGAAAGCAGTTGGCTTTATGACCTCCACTGCAGTCAGCCACCAGGGGGCGATCAAGCTTCAGTTTCACTTCTGGAGAACTGTCATGTCGTCCATCTTTATATATGACGATGGTTTTTTGCATGTTTTGCAGCCACCGTAGTTTCTCCTGCACACTTCAGAGCCTGTTCTCATTTCCAGGTCAAATACAGACGAGAGCAGTGTTCAGTTAGTTGCAATTTGCAACTTCACCACTAGATGCCACTAAGTCCTAAACACTGGTCCTTTAAAGACAGTTAACTCAGCTTAGAATTCCCCATCATGCTTTGGGCAAGTTGGGAAGCCGACAAGCCTTTCAGAGGGAGTCTTTCTCAGAGCTGTAGTGTGGAATGTCTCATCTCTCTGACATGATGTTACCTGTCTGTCTGTCTGTCTGTCTGTCTGTCTGACCTCTGAGGCGATACTCTCTGATGTGTTCTGTCCCCGTCATTTTTTAAAATCCTATATTTGTCCCCTTCACTTTTAAGCTTTCAGTTTTAATTACTCACTAAAATCTCTCTCAGCAGGATCTTGGTTCTGTCCAGCTGCCAGAGAGGAGAGCGACGCTGAACAAAATATTACTGGTATGTTCATGTAGGTCACTAATGTTTCATAAGGAAGATTTTCTGTTTTTCTTTTTTCTGTAAAAACACTGCAAACTACTGCACACTTATATGTAGTCAGTATTCTCCTAAAAAGACACTATCTTAAGGCAGTAAAGGACAGAAGCAAATATACAATATTTATCTCACATAAAGTATCAGGTATAAGAAAAACCTTGAAGTGGTGTTAGTTTATTAATAATACTGGGATTTACATGAATTTTCTACAATTAGTTTTATAATGTGTTATTTGCTAGATTGATTTGATGTTTTTTTGTTTCATTTTTGGAGAACCCCTGAATTTATGTACAGATGTGTGAGTATTTGTAGTTGTGAACGTATCCTTTAAACATCAGAGCTGTTAACATGCAGTTAAAGGACCAGTGTGTACAATTCAGTGACATCTAGTGTGGAAGTTGTAACCAACTAAATACAGCTCGCCTTCCAAGATGGATTTTCTATGGCTGTTATATTATCTGTGGACTAACATCATTTGTCAAAAAATACAAGAAACTTTATCTTTCTAGGTGGTACATTGAATCATTAAATTAAACACTGATGATTTGAACTGACTGAAAAGTTGAGATGATTTGTTGATTCTCTGTTCAGATTCAGTTTGAAGTGGCAGTTCACCTTTGTGCACTAGTCAGACTATTAATGCCACACCAGCAGTTTCAGCTGACATTATGTGGTGAAATCACTTTCAGTGGAATCACATGGAGTTCAACTTTGATACACTTTGACACATATTCACACTGTTGATCAACAGCAATCTGTCTTGACAGTGCTGACCTTTAGGTGAATTAGGATTTGTATCCATACTGTTTACATTTACCTTTTCACATTAATTCCATTAGCAGACACATTTTACAAGGTGGCCACAGTGCCAGCCACTATGTCAGCTATCAAAACAGAAAAATTATAATTAATAAAATAAGAAATATCGTAAAAAACAGTTTAGTTTTTTTCACCTTAGAGCATTACTGTATGTACTACTTTGGTGCACCAATCAGAACTTAGAAACATCTGAATTAAGATCTGATGATGGTGGTGTTGCATTCACGCAATATTGGCAGAAGGGAAACAGGAAAACCTGCTGTTATTCCAACTTGGAAATATTCACGCGTTATTCCAAGAAAGTTACTCCCACTGTCACATCCTTTAAATAGCATAAATGAGCTACTTTTACTCTGTATACATAGTTGGAGTGATTGGTTAACCAGTGAAACCAGATACAAGCAAACAGTATAGCTACTACTGAATGACCTGACTCAAGTAGTGACACTAGCACTAGTGGTTTAATGCTAGTGCAGCCATTTCACCACCATTTTGTGGTGCAGTGTTTTTTCTGAGCTGCTAATTATTAGAGTCTGTATGACATGATGTGAACGCAAACCACACACTGATGAAGCAGATTGACTTTTTTATAAACTCAGTTGATAACATCTGACTGGAGGAAACTGTGAACTGATCCTTTAACCTGACACCTCCTGACTTCATAAACAGGTGAGTTGACAGTAAATACAGAGAGAGAAAACACTGAACACTGCTGAGAACAAAGTGTGTGTGTGTGTAGTGTTGTGGTGTGTGTGTGTGTGTGTGTGTGTGTTGTGTGTGTGTTGCAGCCAGTATTTACAGATTTTAAAATAGATTTATCGTTTTTTTGCCCAACAAAAAACCTGGAACACA